CACTGGGGAAGGAGAGGGGGCCCTGACAGGTTGCGGCAGGCGCAACTGTCCAGGGCCAAGTGACTCGGGTTCGCCTAAGGGCCAACCGAAGTTGGCGCTGTCGGCATACGAACCCCTCCAATGAGAGTCACCTGGAGGGGCCCTTGCCGTCCGTCGACGACTTGGGCTTCCCCCAGTTCCCCGTCTTCCCGCGAAAAGGCAGCTGATTGCCCATACCGGAGCCCTCAGGGCGGGGCTACTTCCCAGAGGAAGAAGAACCCGACCCCTTAGACCTACAGGCCGCAGCAGCCTGGGGCGCGCTCCGGTTAGGAGCGGCACCCAGGCGCCTATGCAGGGACCCAACAAGAGCAAGTGTGTGCCGAGAGTCCTCGGCAACGTACTCCAGGGAAGCATTTAAACTGAGCAGGCAGTTGTAAATGCGCTGGTCACGGTCCGTGGGAGAACCTTCGACCAGACGGGCCGCTGCAGCCAAGTAAGTGTCTCCGTGAGACATGGAGTGCCGAGCGAGGGCGTCCAGCTGGTGCAAGGTAGGGAAAGGCAAGGTCATGTACCGGGAATAAACCCTTTCTCCACGACATCGGAGGCAACGGGAGACCCCGACCGGAGGCCGCCGCGAAGGCGTTCTCCAAGGAAGGCTTGAAACCGCGCAGCAAGGTCGATGCGGGGAAAGCCGTGTCGGAAGACTCATCGTATACCTCGGAGGAACCCACAGTCGTGGATTCCCCGCGGTACCGGCCGGGGCATATCCTCAAAGAGGTCATAAACCATGGCCACGCGGTCCTAAACCGATAGCGGGAGCAACGGTTCGGGGGAAGGACCGGTGACCACGGGAGCCGCCGCCGTACCGGTGGACCCCGCGTCCGACCCCGCGGCCACCGAAGTGGCCGGGGACGGAACAGCCAGCGGCCTATCTTGCGATAAGGCCGCCAGCTTGGAGTCCACAAGTTTCGACAACAATGCGGCGACGGAATCCCCAGACAGCCCGAGGGCCGCAAGGGGATCCGCCGCAGCCGAGGAGGTGGTACCCGCACGGGGACCCCGACCGGACGAACCGGCCACCACAGGGGTGGAGACGGACTGTACGTACAGCCGGTACCGCTCAAACTCCGCAGGCCCCAGACCTTCGCACAGGATGCACCGGGTGTCCCCGCAAGGAACCCTGCACCGCGGGCAACGATTGTGGGGATCCCGGGACGACAAAAACTTTCTGCACACCCCACAACTCCGAGGAGCAGGGGTAGAGGGGGTGGATACTGGGGACATATCCATGTCAGACATTGATTGTTTGCTATAAACAAAGAACAAAACATGGTTACAACGCACGCACCACAATGATTCACAAACGAACATTTTCACAAGAAAATAAACGAGCAATGTGAACAGATAACATACACATATAACTTTTATTAAAGAAATAAGTTATGTTAACCCCCAAAACATACAAGAACAGGGGAAACGTAAAACACAACGTGCATACGCGAACCCCGCAAGTATATAGAAAAAAGGGCGGGAAAAATTTTCCGTTTGGCGGGAAAATTATAACCAAGCGTAGCTACCGCAACGCCCCATAAAAGCACAGTTTATTAGAGAATAAACTATAATAAATATCACCAAATCTTCAAGGAACGCTTCAGCAGGAGAAAACACGTCTTGCTAAGCAGACGAAGGAGACAAGAGTGAAGGGTGTCACATGGCAGCTAGGTGGCTACGCACGTGCTGCATGAGGTAATTGAGATCTCTGTGGTAGATTTCGCTATAGCAGCAGTTGTGGGAGACAACAGCCTCGGTATAACAGTGGTAACGTATTACTTAATGTAATATATTCTATAATAGGAAATAAACCGCAAGTGATGCAGTTCTGAGATGTTTACCAGTTTGGTGAAATTCACTAGTGTAGGTACAATGCTGAAGAACAAAGAAACATAATTCAAATTTTGGGGTTGAGAGCATGAGCAATGACCAACACTGTCACAGCATGATGACATACAGGCAGAGGTTGAGAGCATGAGCAATGACCAACACTGTCACAGCATGATGACATACAGACAGCATGAGCAATGACCAACACTGTCACAGCATGATGACATACAGGCAGAGGTTGAGAGCATGAGCAATGACCAACACTGTCACAGCATGATGACATACAGGCAGAGGTTGAGGGCATGAGCAATGACCAACACTGTCACAGCATGATGACATACAGGCAGAGGTTGAGAGCATGAGCAATGACCAACACTGTCACAGCATGATGACATACAGGCAGAGGTTGAGGGCATGAGCAATGACCAACACTGTCACAGCATGATGACACACAGGCAGAGGTTGAGGGCATGAGCAATGACCAACACTGTCACAGCATGATGACACACAGGCAGTGGTTGAGAGCATGAGCAATGACCAACACTGTCACAGCATGATGACATACAGGCAGTGGTTGAGAGCATGAGCAATGACCAACACTGTCACAGCATGATGACATACAGGCAGTGGTTGAGGGCATGAGCAATGACCAACACTGTCACAGCATGATGACATACAGGCAGAGGTTGAGAGCATGAGCAATGACCAACACTCTAACAGCATGATGACACACAGGCAGAGGTTGAAAGCATGAGCAATGACCAACACTGTCACAGCATGATGACACACAGGCAGAGGTTGAGAGCATGAGCAATGACCAACACTGTCACAGCATGATGACACACAGGCAGTGGTTGAGGGCATGAGCAATGACCAACACTGTCACAGCATGATGACATACAGGCAGTGGTTGAGGGCATGAGCAATGACCAACACTGTAAAGCACAATGATGATACAGGCAGTGGTTGAGGGCATGAGCAATGACCAACACTGTCACTGCATGATGATGATACAGGCAGTGGTTGAGAGCATGAGCAATGACCAACACTGTCACAGCATGATGACACACAGGCAGTGGTTGAGAGCATGAGCAATGACCAACACTGTCACAGCATGATGATGATTCAGGCAGAGGTTGAGAGCATGAGCAATGACCAACACTGTCACAGCATGATGACATACAGGCAGTGGTTGAGAGCATGAGCAATGACCAACACTGTCACAGCATGAAGACACACAGGCAGTGGTTGAGAGCATGAGCAATGACCAACACTGTCACAGCATGATGATGATTCAGGCAGAGGTTGAGAGCATGAGCAATGACCAACACTGTCAAAGCATGAAGACACACAGGCAGTGGTTGAGAGCATGAGCAATGACCAACACTGTCACAGCATGATGATGATACAGGCAGAGGTTGAGAGCATGAGCAATGACCAACACTGTCACAGCATGATGATGATACAGGCAGAGGTTGAGAGCATGAGCAATGACCAACACTGTCACAGCATCATGATGATACAGGCAGGGTTGAGAGCATGAGCAATGACCAACACTGTCACAGCATGATGACACAAAGGGCAGTGGTTGAGAGCATGAGCAATGACCAACAGTGTCACAGCATGATGACACACAGGCAGAGGTTGAGAGCATGAGCAATGACCAACACTTTCACAGCATGAAGACATACAGGCAGAGGTTGAGAGCATGAGCAATGACCAACACTGTCACAGCATGATGACACACAGGCAGAGGTTGAGAGCATGAGCAATGACCAACACTGTCACAGCATGATGATGATACAGGCAGTGGTTGAGAGCATGAGCAATGACCAACACTGTCACAGCATGATGACATACAGGCAGAGGTTGAGAGCATGAGCAATGACCAACACTGTCACAGCATGATGACACACAGGCAGAGGTTGAGAGCATGAGCAATGACCAACACTGTCACAGCATGATGATGATACAGGCAGTGGTTGAGAGCAAGAGCAATAACCAACACTGTCACAGCATGATGATGCAGGCAGTGGTTGAGAGCATGAGCAATGACCAACACTGTCACAGCATGATGACACACAGGCAGAGGTTGAGGGCATGAGCAATGACCAACACTGTCACAGAATGATGATGATACAGGCAGTGGTTGAGAGCATGAGCAATGACCAACACTGTCACAGCATGATGACACACAGGCAGTGGTTGAGAGCATGAGCAATGACCAACACTGTCACAGCATGATGACACACAGGCAGAGGTTGAGGGCATGAGCAATGACCAACACTTTCACAGCACAATGATGATAAAGGCAGTGGTTGAGGGCATGAGCAATGACCAACACCTGTAGAACACAATGACACACAATCAGCCCATTCACACACTGTAATCATCTGATCCTTAATAGTCAGCTCTGACAACCAAAGTACTGCACTGGGACCTATCCTCCACAAGAATCCCTCCCCAGAGCTCCAGATAAGCTTTTGGTGGGTATATTACCCATGCATTTTAAAATCATTGGGTATCAGTAATTCTATCTGGGTATTCAAATTTCTGTTACCCACTAGTTTTTACACATGTGGGTATTTAAGTTAAATATTTAAAAACAGTATTCATCTAGTCTCTGCAAACTGGTGTCGTGTGGGTTCGAGAGCTTTATAGGACTCAAAAATACCACGATACTTCCACAAGAAAGTGTGACAGCAAATGATCATGATGTAACTGTCATCGTGGAGTTTGGCAAGGTTGACGGAATGCCCGTTTATAATTTGAAAATAAGTTGCTGATTTGCTAATCGAATACGCAGGGTTACTTCACAATATCTTGATGATACGCACAAGTTCTCTTTTTGTAGCGTAACTGTAATGTTCGTTGCGCATTTGATACGCTTGGATTTTATTTGACTGCGTATTTCTGCATTTCTGATGCGCATTTTACACAGATACGCAGCTTATCTAGAGCTCTGCCTCCCAGATCCAACTTATGTAGGCCAGATAAACTGTATTTCTCATTTTATAGATTTTCTTCACTATGCCAAGATGTGGGTAATTCCATTAAGGACAACTCTTGTAATATATTTAGGGCTGGCTCATCTGTAAAAACAAGGAAGAAATTGGCTTTTATTGAAAAAATCATCTCACCTTAATTGTCGGAGAGAAAAGAGCTTGAGCACCAAGACGCAAACGGGTTGGAAGCGGTAACCGATCGACATATTTCTCCTGACGGCAGACTTTCTGTATGACCCGCTGACACAGGAACTGAAGCGGCGCCACCTGTTTGCTGATCCAGGCGACATACAGATGGCAGCCTGCTGCTATAAATAGACGCTTGTCGTTGTGACCCCAGGTTAATGCTGTGAGAGGTTTACCCTGGAGAATCAAACATCTTGTATGAGTGACGGAATAGATACATTAACCAGATTCAAACTTCAAAGACTACCATTTCATCCAAATGTATGCCATCAAAAACTGCTAAATACAGTCAACTCCCGTTACCTTGACATGGTTGGTTGCATATGAATATGTCGGATAAACGAGTATCTCGGATTAACGAAATTAAGTAAGAACAACGTTTGTGATCGGACAACTACTGCCGCAAAGCTCAAGAAAGCTGCTTTCTTATTGGCTTATGTCGACTTCCTGCTAGTCATATCAATGGTCTGTCAAAGTTTGCGAAAGGTCGTTCTGATGTGACCTGATATAGGATGTCCTCAGCGGTAGCGAGAATTTATATCTGATTTGAATGAGATTGAGGTAATCCAAACATGTGATCAATCCTGTTAACTTAAAGCATTAACTGTTTATTGTTTTGCAACTTTATGTCTGAAGCCGTTGTAATATACAGCTACATCCGACTCTTCTCGCATAAAAACATGGGTCTGTGTACTCGCAGCCAGTTGACAACTAAGTTTGCTGATCACTGTGTTGGATTAATGAGACTGATTAATGAGGGATGTGTGTCGGAGTCGGAGTCGGAGTCCGAGACTGTCGGATTAAAAGGTCTTAGAAACACTGATTTATTCGGTTCCCATCATAAGTGTAGGATAAAGCCGATTGTCAGATTAACGAGTGTTGGATTAACGAGACTTGACTGTATACTGATTGATATGGGAACTATGATGTTATATGTCTTAAAGCTGCAAAGAAAAACAGAGTTAATTATTTTATTCGGCTGTGTTAATTATGAACATGCAATATTCTATTTTATATTTTACGAAGTTACTCATTTTGTTGAATACAGCAGCAAAAATTAAATTGTCTCTATTTCTGAGTACCCCGATCTATTTCCAACTGTATAGTACAAATTGGCGATGTTTTGGTTGCAGCTATGTATTCCCTATCCAACACTGATGATGATAAAGCGTTGGTGTCATTGTTCTAGATCGAAGGCAAAATATGCCTTCAGTTTTTTCTGCACACAAATAAGAACAAACATTGAACATACCCCAAAAAAGTTATTCTATCTTTTTCTAATTTGATATACAAAAGTCCCCATTTAAAAAAGTATGCATGCTTTTCAATGTTTTCACACCATGCATAGGCTCTATCACAATACATCGGCAAGTCTAGAGAGTTTGAGAGTAACAGACTTGAGAGCTGGTGGAGGAATTCGCTATCACAGGGGACTGGCAACAGTCTAGAGGCATATAGCTGTGGCATTCTCTATCACAGGGGAATGGCAACAGTCAAGAGAGCTAGTGATGACATTCACTTTCACAGGGCACTGGCAAGACTCTAGAGAGTAAGTGGTGGCATTCTCTATTACAAGGGACTGGCAACAGTCTAGAGAGCTAGTAGTGGCATTCTTTATCACAGGGGACTGGCAACAGTCTGGAGAGCTAGTAGTGGCATTCTCTATTACAAGGGACTGGCAACAGTCTGGAGAGCTAGTAGTGGCATTCACTATTACAAGGGACTGGCAACAGTCTGGAGAGCTAGTAGTGGCATTCTCTATTACAAGGGACTGGCAACAGTCTAGAAAGCTGGTGGTGGCACTCTCTATCACAGTGGATTGACAAAAGCTTAATTATGCAACAGAACAGTTTTAAGAGTAATCTTGTATCCAATAGAGTTCAGGCATTATTTGTTCAGGAGTTTTTTTCCTTCCTGGAATTAGGGAGTTGAGACATTTTTACATTTCATATATTTTTATTATTACCTTACAGCAACAGGACACTGGTGCAATGTAACAAACAAGTCTAAAATTAACCATGAGTTAAACACAAGGGCTCTATATGTGCTCAGGTATGTTATTGTCCCTTAACCACTCGGTTACCGAACCACCCATTCTAAGAGCAGTGATGTCGAGTTCTACGTTATATGTAATTCACGATTTGCAAAGAGATACAACAGTTAATACGTACTTAGGACAATGTACAACATGCCAAGTTCAATTTAATGTGTTTTCACTGCATTGCAAGTATACTTTTCTTCTGGTGAAGTGAACAGCCTGACACTGATATTGCTGGAATATTGCAACAAGGGACATAAAACCTTACTTACTCACTCACTCACTCACTCACTCACTCACTCACTCATTCACTCACTCCACTGTTTCTTTAATTAAATGATCTTATTTCATTCCAATGAATTACTTACAGTTTGGGAAATTAAGGAGAGTCCTAGAGTCCTTGGTGTTTTAGAATTTGAATCTTGGGACCCTTAAATATTTAACTTTGAACATAGGGTTATGACACGACTCTTACTTCAGGCTTAATTTTGTACTCTGACTTACATGCATCAAGATTACACTGCTGTGTATATACTGTCATATGACATTTTACGTATCTTTCCAAAAATATTTTTCAGAAAGTTTTCTTCACGAAATCCTTCTGAAATGAGGCACTGCTTGGGTTGACTTACTTCTGTTGCCATTCCATTGTGATAGAGAGTGTACTTGTTGTACTTACTTCCCCCTCAATGAACCCCACCTGAGAAGGAACGGTGACCCAGTGCTTCAGTTTACCATCCTTGGTATAGAAGTGGAGTTCATTGCGGCACTGGAGGTTGGGCAGGCGGATGAACCCTCCCACTGCCAGGTACTCCCCACAGTTGGACCAGTCCATCTTGAGACCTGCAGAGGACATCATTCAATACTATAGTATACATGTGCCTGAACAAATGAATGTCTGATGCTAAGTCAGTACAATAACAGCGACATTATTGCCATAATCAATTCTGGACTGGTAAATAGCATAAGCAACTGATCCCATAAGTCACCTCTTACAACAAGCAGTGGTTGCTGGCGACCAATTCTAACCCGGATCTTCACAGGCCAGTCATCTCTTTAAAGCTAAAATACAGTTATACAATTTTCTGATTTTCCATATTTTTTCAAGAATGCCAAAGAAACCCTTATAGTGAGTACAAAAATGGACAGGGCCCACTAACACAAGGCGATCTGAGCACTACAGCAATTGTAGGTGCCATACTTCAACACATAACTTAACAACAATTGTGACGCTGAGATAGGTGGGTGGGCTCTGTTCCACAAAGTGATTTGAGACCAAAGACAAATGTAAATTGATCCCAAGACAGCTATCTGGAACAGAGCCCTTGTAGTCATGGTGGGCAGTCAAGCTATCTGGAATTTGTTTTCACAACATGTGCAGCATCATTGAATCAATTACTACATGATCAAAACCAATAAATACATCTGTCCTAACAACCTGTCCTCTCCTCTATTCCTCTGAAATGTGGAAGCTGAATACTGCAAGACTTGTCACTGACATTAAAATCTCCATCCAGAAGCTGACTCTCAGAGACAGCATTTAGTTAATCTGGTGTTGAAGTTAATATACTATTTCCAATTTAAAAGAATTACTTCTGAGCATATTTCTGTTTCAACTTTCAAACTAGGTCAATGTCTTTTAGTAACACCATAGAAATTAGGGTTAGGCAGCGTCAAACAGTAAGAATTTTCTGAACAATTCTGTAGAAGAATATTTCTTGTAACTACAAATCCTAACCACAGAAAGAATAAGCATGAAATACTCAATTTCTCCATCAAAGGTATGTTCTACTGAGTGCAAGACTCAAGCCTGTGACCTTAAAAGCTGCCCTAAAGAGTCAATGACACATAACAAAAAAATGATTACTACTTTGCTAGCTCACTGGTACCTTTAGACATCTGGTATTACTTTGGAAAGACCACTGGAAGCACTGGAAGCACTGGTTATCACTGGATACACTGGGGCTTTCCATTTGTTTCAAAGGAATTAATTTTTTTTATAAAAGATAAAAAGTTCCAAACAAAGAAAAGTAAACAGTTTACCCCTTGACAAATTAGTGAGGAAATGCAAATAGTTTGTGAATAATTCATAACTGGAATTTGTAAAAAAAATAAATAGCAAAAGGCATCATTTCATGGCAAGACTGATATGTGGAATTTGCTATAAGATCAATTTGTTGTCATGGAGACCAGAAAAAAGTAAAACTTTCCAAAATTCCCTTGTTGCAAAAGGCACAAATTGATAGCTAGACTGATATCTTTGCAAAGTTTGATCAAGGAATATTGAGCGGTCATTGAGTTATGCTCCAGAAACATAACGTGATAGAAGGAAGGACAGACACCACCCATTCCTATTTCCCCATCCCACTTCGTGGCGACGGACATAAACTAATGAGGTGTTGTTCATGCTACAAATGAGTACACAAGCCTTCATTTAGATTCTCTATGGTAATTAAGGACTATCCATCCATTCAGCATTAACACCTGAACAAAAGTTTTACGTTTGAATTTTAAGGGTAAATGTTTTAGCTCCCCACATCTATTGAACTTTGTGGAACTAATTTTCAAACTTTACATACCGTATTCGACTTAATAAGTGCCCAGGGTGCTCTCAAAATTAGAAATAGGGGGCTCTTATTAGAACATTATTTTGGTGAAAAGATAAATTTATTTGTGTATAATACGCACTCATGTGTTATATGCACCCTTAATTACGGGCAATTAAATTCTAGACACATATATCTGTCGCATATAAACATTTCAGGCGGTCAGCATAAACCATAAAAATTGTCAATCGGAAAGGGTGCTGATTTAGATTGTTTACTAGCCAATATATTAGCAAATATCGCTGTGGACGCTTATTAGAGCGGGGTGCTTATTGCGTGGAATACGGTATTTGTAGGTAGAAATCTGGACCTCTGGCAAAGATGTTCTAAGTCATCATCCAGGACCAGCTCCTCAGTACTGTATTCATTGGAATAACAAAGAAGTCGAAATCCAAAGTCCACAACTAGTCATCACTGAGGAAGTCATGGCTGATAACCATGAAAGTTGTTTTTTTAACTTATTCCTTATTAATTCAATTTTCATATTTGTTCTGTGAAAAGTGTTTGTTTTCTACCGCCTCACACTCAGGTCTGGGATAGAACAGCACTTTAAAGGCATTCTAGGTACTGAGTACTTACTGTTTGGTGCGTAGACCTGGAAAACAGTTTGTGATGAACTTTATATTTGGTGTACACTTAATCAATATACTCAAAGTTGACACAAGCCTCCACTGACACACCTACAGGAAACAAGAGTGCACTAAACTATTGAAGCATGACTGTTCAATGACTCTCACATGGGTAGTTATAGTGGACATGCTATCACAGAAGTATCAGAACTTATGAAGCGTAATGTGGACAAACCTGTTAATGTTGTGTATACCATGCGAGGACAAACATCATCATGGCCAGACAGCAGGAAGATATCCCCATACTTGAAACAAACAGCCAGTGTGTGGGTCTTGGAGATTCCATCTGCAATCAGACAATCAACACGGCATGTAGAATGTCCTCCAACTAGATCTTCTTATATCAATCATTGAGCACACAGCGTAATGTGTGTCAACCATGGGTCGGGGATATGGTGGTATGGATTTTTCTCTCTGAAATTACTTGATGTCACTTTTTTTAAACAAATAATTGTAATATTAATCTCAGGAATGAATTCGTTTAGCAAGGAAGTAAGTGATGTTTCGTCTAAAAAAAAATGCCAACAGCAATATCAGCAATCAACAATATTACATCTGTATCAAAGTCCCTTCCCAATCAGCAATATTACATCTGTATCAAAGTCCCTTCCCAATCAGCAATATTTCACCTGCTTCAGTCCCCTCCTAATCAGCAATATTACATCTGTATCAAAGTCCCCTCCCAATCAGCAATATTACATCTGTATCAAAGTCCCCACCCAATCAGCAATATTACAGCTGGACAACAGTCCCTTCCCAATCAGCAATATTACAGCTGCTTCAGTCCCCTCCCAATCAGCAATATTACATCTTTATCAAAGTCCCTTCCCAATCAGCAATATTACAGCTGCTTCAGTCCCCTCCTAATCAGCAATATTACATCTGTATCAAAGTCCCCTCCCAATCAGCAATATTACATCTGTATCAAATTCCCCTCCCAATCAGCAATATTACATCTGTATCAAAGTCCCCTCCTAATCAGCAATATTACATCTGTATCAAAGTCCCCTCCTAATCAGCAATATTACATCTGTATCAAAGTCCCCTCCCAATCAGCAATACTACAGCTGCTTCAGTCCCCTCCTAATCAGCAATATTACATCTGTATCAAAGTCCCCTCCCAATCAGCAATATTACATCTGTATCAAATTCCCCTTTCAATCAGCAATATTACATCTGTATCAAAGTCCCCTCCTAATCAGCAATATCACATCTGTATCAAAGTCCCCTCCCAATCAGCAATATTACATCTGTATCAAATTCCCCTTTCAATCAGCAATATTACATCTGTATCAAAGTCCCCTCCTAATCAGCAATATCACATCTGTATCAAAGTCCCCTCCCAATCAGCAATATTACATCTGTATCAAAGTCCCCTCCCAATCAGCAATATTACATCTGTATCAAAGTCCCTTCCCAATCAGCAATATTTCACCTGCTTCAGTCCCTCCCAATCAGCAATATTACATCTGTATCAAAGTCCCTTCCCAATCAGCAATATTTCACCTGCTTCAGTCCCTCCCAATCAGCAGTATTACATCTGTATCAAAGTCCCTTCCCAATCAGCAATACATGTATTAGAGTTGGATAACAGTGTCATCACACAGGACCTGAATCACTATGTATTCAATAACCAGCTCAATGAAGCACACTGTCTATGTTGGTCTTACAAGGTATAGTTGCACAAGTAATTGTGAAAAATCTTCCATGAAATGAACTGACTTTTCCCCATCAAAGTACGTCCAAATTATTGATTTGAAGCAGTGTGTACACAAACTATACTCAGAATACCATAATTTCATAACAAACAAGAACCAGAATCGTCGTCCAGAACATACATGCAGTGTCTATGGGATAACACAATAACAACCTAGTTTAATATACTGAAGGGTTGTGATAGCATTAGGGTTGGAAATCAGTGTTTCCGACCAAACTCGCATGACTCCACACAATATCAACGGCACTGTGATAAAGTTCCAGTCAGCGGAATACACTTCGCCTGAATGAGAACATCACCTGACTATATATCATAAACTAAATCCTCTCCATTAAAACTCAATTCATGCGCAGCTATAAAATTAAGCTTCCTCTGCCTACTGTTTGTTATGACATCAATAAAATGGAATCTTATAAAATTCTACATGAAATTGCCAGTGTGTTATAAGCATGTTATTTCTTCAATCACTTAATTCCATTTCCTAACATTTGATGGAAATAAAACCCAAACCATAATTAATGACCTCTATCAGATCTATTTTCTAATTTAAATTTATTCCGCCTAATTACAAGTTATGTGCAATATTTTGCATTTATGATCATAAGGATAACAAGAAATATTTTTAGTTCTCAGGCACAAGAACATATCAAAATACCCGAAAAGCAATAATATTTGCTTAAAAAAATAAACACGAAAATGTCCAGGAAAGATTTTAGGATATCATACAAATTGGTTCAAACATGTTTAGTTATATCAACAGACATTCATTACTGTCAACCCAAACCTTTTCTACTGTGTACGGGAGGTGAGGTGTTCTTAGTTTGGAGAATATCCATCTTAAAATTTTAAGTTACTGAGGCAATTAGCAGTTGGTATGGTTGACCTCAAAAATGCACATTAAACTATATAAGGCTTAAAAAAAAAAAAGAATTGGTTCTCAGGCAATGGTTTTTGAAAATATAGTGTGGGCGGCGGAGTCATTTTTTTTTCATTTTTTTTTTTTCATACTAGTTTGTAACCAAAAAAACAAAGAATAATCAACCTGGGAAAGGGCCTCCTTACATGAATGTATTCCTTGATGAGTAAAATACGGGAATACAGTATTTGACTACCGTTGGTTTTGGAACATTAAAGGATTTATTTATTTTTTTCAAAATCGTAATAAAGACAAAACGTGCAGCAAACTTTATGATGATGCGGGCAGAGCCTGAGAACCAAGACTATTATTGTTTTTAGCCTAAGGTTGCTTAAGAGTATACAAATAATTGAGGTTGACCAGAAAAACTGGTGATTAATAGCATGAACAACTTCCCACACTGTCTGGGTATCATGACACGCAATCAGCAAAACCCTTGGTCTGATGATCCAATCTAAGTCAGACCATTTAGCTTTCGCTTAGACAGTTGTTTGTTTGTTTCTTTCTTTGTTGTTTAACGCCGCACTCAGCAATATTCCAACTATATGACAGCGGTCTATAAATAATTGAGTCTGGCCCATACAATCCAGTGATTGACATCTTGAGCATCGATCCACACAATTGGAATACAATGACATGCATCAACCAAGTCAGCAGGCCCGACCACCCGATCCCGTAAGTCGTCAACTTACGACAAGCATAGTCACCTTTTACAGCAGAGTGTTAGGGACATATCCTAACCATAAAGCTTAAACAGGGATACATGTCCATTGCCATGTCCTGGTGGCACACAGTGATCACGTTTGGATCAGGCAAACCATAACATAAAGCCAGGACTGACAATCAGTCTTTACATGATGTGTGAATTTTTTTGGTCTATGACTGGTGACTGACGGCCATCTGAAGGTCAGTTGAAATGGGGTTTAACGTCGCATCCAAGATTATTGCACTTACATAGCGACGTGCATGCATGTGTGCATGTGTGTGTTTGGATGCTTGTACTAGTCCGGACTGATGCCAGTTTATAGTACCAGCCCACTGAGGTACCATGTTGCTGTTTAACATGAATACCCATCTAAGACACCGTATACTGACTCCTAGCTTACTTACTTACTTATATTAGGGGATTTTACGTGCGCTTTCCGACTGGAGCGTATTTCGCACTCCTAGCCGACCAGTCCTTGTTTTATCCCTTAATGGCAAGCGCCAGACAGGGTTACAAGTACCATATTTTAATGTCTTCTGGTATGGCGCGGCGGACCCCGGACCCCGCACCCCGGACCTTCCACTCTCTGGGCGGACGCTCTACCACTTGACCACGGAGGTGGTCAACAGGCATCTGTAACTCTGACACATGGGAACTACCCCCAGCCACTCTCAAGCAGCTGTTATGACATAAGTGTTAGAAATTAAGGTGGCTTCTAGGTTCCTTGTGGTCTGCCCCAATAGTTGTTGCTATTTATTTGCTATTTACACATCATTTATGAAGAGAATCCCGAGAGCATACATTCTCAACTTGTTTGTTTGTTGTTGGAGACAAATTCAGCAATATTCCAGCTATATGATGGCAGCCTATAAAGAATCGAGCATAGTGCAGACAATCTACTGATTGATATCATGAGCATTGATCTACGCAATTGGGATACAATTACAGGCATCAACCAAGTCAGCGCGCCTGAACAACCAATCGATTTAGTCGCCTCTTACGACAAGCATGGGTTGCTGAAGACCAATTCTAGCCACGGATCTTCATAGGGGTCCAAATTTCAAATACTGTCAGAATAAGGTCCAAATAAGGCGCTGGGCCACCAATGCCCAATACAAGCCACTGGCCTATACTGGTAACTTTCTATCAGCCAATTTGTGTTCAATCAAGATTCACTCACTCACACGCTGGACCGCTTGTCACCTCCAGAGGACAGAACTATGTGATGGTAATGAGGAAATAATCAGGTGTGTCTTACAGCAGAGCTTGCTTCCTACTTGATCAAAATGCCTGCTTGTCTTCGAAGCAGACATTGAGTCACACAGACAGACAAAGAATCTGTTCCAGTTACAGAGCTGGTTGTGTAATCTACTGAATCTAGACACAGTGCCTATTGACTGTTAGTTGACCTGATTCAGGTTGACAATATGGCTGATATATCTGCAGTAATTCTGCCATACACTTAAAACCTCTAGTTTGAAAATACTACTACTCGCCAGCTAATTTTCTCCCTTAGTTCAAGCTTTTTCATCACTTGGGGTTTTCCTACCACATTAACCTGACACGCCACGATATAACTGTAATACAGTTAGAAGCAGTGTAAAACCCAACTCACTCACTCACTCAAGCTTTTTCTTAAACAGCAGGGCCGTGGGGTAGCCTAGTGGTTAAAGCCTTTGCTCTTCATGTTGAAGGCCCAGATTCGATTCTGGGTACAATGGGTACAATGTGTGAAACCCATTTAAGATGTCCACTGCTGTGATATGGATGGAATATTGCTGAAAGCGGCGTAAAACCATCCTCACTCGAACTGTTTGTCTGCTAGTTACGTATTATTCATCCGTCTGGGTTTGGAAATCCTTTCCACAAAGACTATCATAAATCTTCATTAGATGCACAGTACTTTAGGAAATACCACCCTGGTCACTCAGAGAATTGAATTTTTTATTAAACATATGAGATATGAGAAATAAGGAACAAGAAAAAAAGATATATCGACCACATCTCATACCACATCAACTGTCTACTGAAAGTTCCCACATAAAATATAGTTGCCTGCCCATGACATACTGTGTAAAGGTACATGAGACATGCAATGACAAAAACCTCAATGGTACGCTGAGGATACATTCAAATTTGATATCAATATTTGGACTACTCTTAAATCTGGTTTACACACACAGATTAGAAACGCTGAACAGGGACTCATTTAGAAATTAATGTCCATTTCAAGATGACGAAATCTATTTGCTATTTGTTTAGATCAGTGATTTGCGCAGTCCAATTTTTGAATGTTGATTTTGTTTTTCTCAAATACAGTCTGGACCAAACAAATCAACGAATATCCATCTCCTGGGTGCGAGATATGAAGCATGCATTCTTGTATAGCACCATGAGCCACCACATGGTGATTGGTGAGGTAGAGTTTAACGATATAGTTACGTGTGGTGTGGTGTGGTGTGGTGTGGTGTGGTGTGGTGTGGTGTGGTGTGGTGTGTATGTTTGTACTACTCTGGACTCATGTCAGTTTTAAGGTGCAAGCCCATTGCAATAACATGCTGCAATTTAACATGGATACCCCACTCAGACACAGTATACTGACTCAGAGTCGACCAGTCCTTCTGTTATCCCCTTAATGCTGAGCACCAGACAAGGTAACATTAAGTACCATCTCTTAACATCTTGAGGTATGGCGCATGCCGGGCATCGAACCACCAACCTTCCACTCTATCCACTTGATCCACTTTTTCCTAGGTGATTGGATATTAGGCGCATCATAAATCAACGAATGATAATGGCTTATTTTAGACATGTTCTACAAAGGTGATTCTGGCAGTAGGCAGCATTAAAAATACAACTGTTTATCTATGTAAACACTGGTCGAACATTTACCTTCGGTGTTTCTCGTGGAGTCTTCTGAACTTTCAGCTTCCTCCATGTTAAATCTCTCACAGGACCATGCCATGGAGGAAATCTCCATCCCATCATGCACTGTGACCTGGGATATCATGGCACCAGTTGAGCTCATCACGATGATCTGGCCATCAGTGGTGCCGAACATTACCTGACGATAGAGGATGTAGGCTTAGTCTAAACATATTTTATTCACATGAAGAATGTGGCACAAGTTATCACAACTTTGAGAATTAACATTCCGAATGACAGAAAAGAAAGAAGAGAAACTGAGAAACACATTAACTTTAATATTGCTCACGCAAACCCTTTTCTTTCATAGATTACCGTTAATCCATCAAAAAATGCTGGATCTAGCAAGCCTCTGCCTTATAATATACGCCCAAAACATATGTATACCTAGAAAGTGGAGTTTTCACAAGAGTTGAAACATCGACCATTTGTATCCTTTAAATAAATCATTATCCAAGGGTAAAAATCCACAGTAGATCCTCATCATTAAATTCAATAACGAAAACATGTGTTAGTTTAACCAAAAACAGTTGTACATCTCAAAGCCGACAAAAATGACGAGATTGATAAACATTCCAGGTGTAGGAATACATACTGTGGCATGACATGAATCAGGTCATTGTTAATTTTTATGCACATAACTTGACAAGCCCACCAAGTCAGTTATAGCCAATCAACTGAGAGTAGAATCAAAACAAAGCTCACAGGACCTGTCAGTCAAGGCAAGAGGTGAGAAGAACTGCATCAGCCAGACTGTAGTTCGGTCTCAAAGGGTAGTTTGGAAAACAAATATGTATGAATTTCGATAAATGTCCTGTGCATGACGATACACATGAGCAGAAAGGGAATTCCCTCGACTGTAATATTGGGATTCACCTGCATTCCGTAGTAATAAAAGTATCCCACTTCGGTGTGTGTGGCTTAATTTCTTAACTTCTTTGGGAAATGAATGCAATAACATGTGACCAATTCAGCTAATCAGAATGCAGGAATTACAATGAACACAACAAAAATTTAATTATTTGAGGATGGTATAAATGAGGATTCACAAATCTTTGAACATAATAAAGGCATGGTTATATCATGAGCAGTTCTAAGGTTGTATGTTATGTTTGACAGTGTGAGGTACTAGACCTTTAAGGTATGACAGTGTCATGTTGTCTTGTATATGTGTTTTGTATGGATACACCTGCCCTACCTTCTGATCATAGGGAGACCACACCCCGCATGATGTGATATATCATCCCTACCTTCTGATCATCAGGAGACCACACCCCTCATGATGTGATATATCATCCCTACCTTCTGATCATGGGGAGACCACATCCCTCATGATGTGATATATCATCCCTACCTTCTGATCATAGGGAGACCACGCCCCTCATGATGTGATATATCATCCCTACCTTCTGATCATCAGGAGATCAGACCCCTCTTGATGTGATATATCATCCCTTATTTCTGATCATAGGGAGACCACATCACCTCATAACGTATTACACCTGCCCTACCTTCTGATCATCAGGAGGCCACATCCCCTCATAACATATTACACCTGCCCTACCTTCTGATCATGAGGAGACCACACCTCTTGATGTGATATATGATCCCTACTTTCTGATCATGAGGAGACCACACCCCTCTTGATGTGATATATCATCCCTACCTTCTGATCATAGGGAGACCACATCCCCTCATAACATATTACACCTGCTCTACCATCTGATCATCAGGAGATCACATCCCCTCATAACGCATTACACCTGCACTACCTTCTGATCATCAGGAGACCACACCCCTCATAACGTATTGCACCTGCCCTACCTTCTGATCATCATGAGACCACACCCCTCATAATGTATTACACCTGCACTACCTTCTGATCATCAGGAGACCACACCCCTCATAACGTATTGCACCTGCCCTACCTTCTGATCATCATGAGACCACACCCCTCATAATGTATTACACCTGCCCTACCTTCTGATCATGAGGAGGTCACATCCCCTCATAACGCATTACACCTGCCCTACCTTCTGATCATGAGGGACCACACCCCTCATAACGCATTACACCTGCTCTACCTTCTGATCATGAGGAGACCACACCCCTCATAACGTATTACACCTGCCCTACCTTCTGATCATCAGGAGATCACATCCCCTGATAACGCATTACACCTGCACTACCTTCTGATCATCAGGAGACCACACCGCTCATAACGTATTGCACCTGCCCTACCTTCTGATCATCATGAGTACACACCCCTCATAATGTATTACACCTGCCCTACCTTCTGATCATGAGGAGACCACACCCCTCATAACGCATTACACCGGCTCTACCTTCTGATCATGAGGAGACCACACCCCTCATAACGTATTAGACCTGCCCTACCTTCTGATCATGAGGAGATCACATCCCCTCATAACGCATTACACCTGCACTACCTTCTGATCATCAGGAGACCACACCGCTCATAACGTATTGCACCTGCCCTACCTTCTGATCATCATGAGTACACACCCCTCATAATGTATTACACCTGCCCTACCTTCTGATCATGAGGAGACCACACCCCTCATAACGCATTACACCTGCCCTACCTTCTGATCATCAGGAGGCCACATCCCCTCATAACATATTACACCTGCCCTACCTTCTGATCATGAGGAGACCACACCTCTTGATGTGATATATGATCCCTACTTTCTGATCATGAGGAGACCACACCCCTCTTGATGTGATATATCATCCCTACCTTCTGATCATAGGGAGACCACATCCCCTCATAACATATTACACCTGCTCTACCATCTGATCATCAGGAGATCACATCCCCTCATAACGCATTACACCTGCACTACCTTCTGATCATCAGGAGACCACACCCCTCATAACGTATTGCACCTGCCCTACCTTCTGATCATCATGAGACCACACCCCTCATAATGTATTACACCTGCACTACCTTCTGATCATCAGGAGACCACACCCCTCATAACGTATTGCACCTGCCCTACCTTCTGATCATCATGAGACCACACCCCTCATAATGTATTACACCTGCCCTACCTTCTGATCATGAGGAGGTCACATCCCCTCATAACGCATTACACCTGCCCTACCTTCTGATCATGAGGGACCACACCCCTCATAACGCATTACACCTGCTCTACCTTCTGATCATGAGGAGACCACACCCCTCATAACGTATTACACCTGCCCTACCTTCTGATCATCAGGAGATCACATCCCCTGATAACGCATTACACCTGCACTACCTTCTGATCATCAGGAGACCACACCGCTCATAACGTATTGCACCTGCCCTACCTTCTGATCATCATGAGTACACACCCCTCATAATGTATTACACCTGCCCTACCTTCTGATCATGAGGAGACCACACCCCTCATAACGCATTACACCGGCTCTACCTTCTGATCATGAGGAGACCACACCCCTCATAACGTATTAGACCTGCCCTACCTTCTGATCATGAGGAGATCACATCCCCTCATAACGCATTACACCTGCACTACCTTCTGATCATCAGGAGACCACACCGCTCATAACGTATTGCACCTGCCCTACCTTCTGATCATCATGAGTACACACCCCTCATAATGTATTACACCTGCCCTACCTTCTGATCATGAGGAGGTCACATCCCCTCATAACGCATTACACCTGCTCTACCTTCTGATCATCAGGAGACCACACCCCTCATAACGCATTACACCTGCTCTACCTTCTGATCATGAGACCACACCCCTCATAACGTATTACACCTGCCCTACCTTCTGATCATCAGGAGACCACATCCCCTCATAACGTATTACACCTGCCCTACCTTCTGATCATGAGGAGATCACAACCCCTCATAACACATTACACCTGCACCCCTTCTGATCATCAGGAGACCACACCCCTCATAACGTATTGCACCTGCCCTACCTTCTGATCATTATGAGACCACACCCCTCATAATGTATTACACCTGCACTACCTTCTGATCATCAGGAGACCACATCCCCTCATAACGTATTACACCTGCCCTACCTTCTGATCATGAGGAGATCACAACCCCTCATAACACATTACACCTGCACTACCTTCTGATCATCAGGAGACCACACCCCTCATAACGTATTGCACCTGCCCTACCTTCTGATCATTATGAGACCACACCCCTCATAATGTATTACACCTGCACTACCTTCTGATCATCAGGAGACCACACCCCTCATAACGTATTGCACCTGCCCTACCTTCTGATCATCAGGAGACCACACCCCTCATAATGTATTACACCTGCCCTACCTTCTGATTATCAGAAGACCACACCCCTCATAATGTATTACACCTGCTCTACCTTCTGATCATGGGGAGACCACACCCCTCATAATGTATTACACCTGCCCTACCTTCTGATCATCATGAGACCACACCCCTCATAATGTATTACACCTGCCCTACCTTCTGATCATGGGGAGACCACACCCCTCATAACGTATTACATCTGCCCTACCTTCTGATCATCAGAAGACCACATCCCTCATAATGTATTACACCTGCCCTACCTTCTGATCATCAGGAGACCACACCCCTCATAATGTATTACACCTGCCCTACCTTCTGATCATCAGGAGACCAGACACCACATGATATTGAGGTGTTGTCCAGATTCAGCATGGACGACCAGTACCGCTGTCCTGCAACTGATCCCACCAACACAAAGCCATCCCGGTAACAGATCAGCGCCATCCGCCCATCATGAGACCAGGCAAAGTCTGTCACCTGGAAAATAGAAGCCACCATATATGTAAAGCAGAAACAATATCATCTTGAATAAAGAAAGCAGTAACCCATAGTCACTGGAGCTAACAAACCAGATGCCAATTGCAGGATTTTTGTTTCTTTGATTCAGGGGTCCGGAAAATTTAAAATCCCAATCGGACATTTGCATTTAGGCCACGCCCCCTTCAAATAGCGTATTTTAGTACGACTTTTCACACACATTACAAGTTTACGTATTCATAATATGATGAATTATGAATTGTTTCAATTTAAATTGTTTAATTCACCGGACAATTAATAACAAATAATATCATTTTAGATTTACATGGAAAAAATATGTTTGTTTCTGTTATAATAACGATCTGGTAACGTTGTGAACGGTCTAATTAATATTCATGAGTTATATTCATGAGTCTGCTCAAGTGTACGCGTTGTAACATTTGGATCGAGACTATTATCCCATATTTGGTTATCACGTGACCTCACGGGAAAAGTGGGGTTTTTTAACTAAAGATTTTTTTAAAAACAAGACAGATAATTTAATCACAAATACTAAAATATCGTTGATAGCAATAGTTATTTGAATACTTTTTTCATCTGTACTTAATTATTGACCATAAAAAAATTGGATATCGATTGTCCGAGAAAGCAAAATGGCGGTCAATCAAGATACGACTAGCTACTGAAAACAATAAAATCTGCAAATCCTCATTGTATGTCAACCAAGTGAAAGTCGTTAGCCACGACTTACAAAATGATCGTCCAGACTGAGGGTTTGGCAGATTCGGTCGACTGGCTGTCATCACGCTTTCGCTTCTTGTCTGAGGTTACGTATCGTAGCATTGTGAGGATAATGAGGTACATCGATGATGCAAGGTATTAATGTCCAGTTGTAAACACCTTTCACTCAAATTAACAAGATGTTTTCAGTAATTAATCCTCGATTAATCAGTGTCAACTCAGTTTATTGCCTATTACAGTGATTGATAGATTTGACTATCATGTAGGTACGATGTATTTACAGCAATCAAAACAAACAAGGCTTGTCAGTGTAGTTAATCTTCATTGTGTTGCAACTGCAGACAGAAACTGCTCAGTCCTAACTGTTGATCATGTCCGGTCAAAATTTAAGAATGTCCGGACAATACTTTTGAAAATGTCCGGTAAGCAATATTTTAAAACGGACATTTGAGATTCCAAATCGGACATGTCCGGCGCATATGACGGTTTCCGGACCCCTGCTTTGATTAATCATCTCAATCAACAATATACAGCTATTTCACAGTAACCTGTGAGTGAGTATGGTTTTATGATGCTTTCACAAATATCATGGCAGGGGACCCCAGAAATGGGGTTGACACAAGCGTTTAGATGGGATCAAATTTTTCTTGATGTCTGCATCTGGACACACGAGATTGAAGAGAAGAGACATTTTCCTGCCTTCAGCATGTGTGGTTTCATTGACGCGGAGGACAGAATTTAATTATTGGATATGTTGGCTTTGAAGAGAATGTCTGTTGATAAATCTAAAGATTTTATAGTGTGATTACAGCTAAAACAGGAATTTATGGCTATAATGTAATAGAGGTAAGGTATTCAAAGGAATTATGGGCTTCACACATTGTAAACGTGGGGAATTGAGCTCCGTCCTTCAGCATGACGAACGAATATTTAAAACGCAAGGGTACCCAACTAACTATTTTTTTAAAGAATTTTTTGGGGCAAATTTATTTATTTTTAATAAAATTCCAACCCCCTCCCTAATATATAATGGTCAGTCCCTTAACCCAGATGGACTTAGTTTTATCCTTTCCAAAACAAGCACAAAAACAGTGTTATGGCTATCCCCCACCATGGAGGAGATTAGAAATTTGATTGTTCATACAGTATTCAATATAAACTATAAAAAAGAGTACTATAAAGCCTTAAGACGATAATTTTCAAACTCATTTAAGATCCTGACATGTAATACCAGAATTTCATTTCTCTGACTTAAACAGTTTTTGAGAAAAGTTGTCCCCTTTGAGTGAGTAAGTATGGTTTTACGCCAGTTTTAGCAATATTCCAGCAATATCACGGCGGGGGACACCAGAAATGGGCTTCACACATTGTACCCATGTCAGGAATCGAACCCGGGTCTTCGGCGTGACGAGCGAACGCTTTAACCACTGGGCTACCCGACCACCCATCCCCTTTGAGAAGTAGATGAATGGTGGAAAGACATAAGGAAGGACGGACGTTGCAGGGGATAAAAATTATGCAGCCCTGCAGTGACAAGAAAAAAAAATTACTTTAACGACAGTAACATCCTACAACCAAACATACAGCACTTACCAATGATTATTGGTACAGAATAAATGTAAACTGTGTCAGGTTACACTAATAGCCAGCAGTCAGTTGTCCTCCTTACAGTATTGGCCAAGCCCATTCAGTGGAGTCATTTACATCTAGGTGTTCTGAAGGACACAGTGACAATAGCTGCTCTACTTTCTATAGAAGTCAACAGATAATCCATATCATGAACTACTACATCCACGATCTACATCATGGTGCTTATAGAGGGCAGCTAGACAAGTAAACTCAATTCCATATATCTATAACCAAGAAATCAATCGGGGTTGCCAAGACGCTCAACTTTCAAATGTCAAATGTGCAGTGGCTCTGCTTACTCTGGGGAAACAACACAATATCTCCTCATGGTTCCCCACAGCACAAGCTCATGTCTGATTACGTTTTGAAGCCTGTCCCTATTACCACTATGCGTCTTACCTAAAGCCCTGAGGCCCTCAGTTTAGCCATGTCAATGATAAGAAAACACCGAAAGTGAAAGTAGAGCAAAAATAATTGAAGTGGAGAACTCTGCCAAATCTGATGCATATTACACAATCATAAATCATCAAAAACTTTAAAAACCAAATGTTTTTAAAAACTGGAAGAAATAGGTTGTTTTAAGAAAGTAAAAGGAGGTGAGTGAATGTTGTTTAATACTGCCATCTGTAGGAGATGAGAACAGACAATCCCATTTTGCATGTTTAGAGTTGTTTCTTTGTTGTGATCCAAACATCATCAGGGGATACTTGTACTCAGGAGATAGAATAGAGCACAACACTGATGGAATACAATTTAGAGGTTTCAAACCTGGATTCCATACCTGTATATTTCATTTGAAACTGAATGTGAATTTGAAGCATTTGCAACTACTTCAATCAGAGGACCAATCACAATGCAGAATTGGAAAATGGCATGATAAAATTAGGTTTTTCCGTATTATTTCATATCATTCCAAAAAGCATGATGTACACATCTTAACCACTAGAGTTACAGCTACATCAATGTAGCTTGAAAATGTAAGCAAGTCTGTATAAGACAAACCAGTGGTCGATCACATAAGGATGAATCTGAACCCGAGAGTATAGCATCACCAGATCACAGCTTCTTGCTAGTCTTCCCAGGTCACCATCCAATATCCAATACTCTCCACACTCGTCAGTCATTGTGCCCAATTGATCACCATTATAGACATATATTACGAGAAGTCTGGAAACGGGAGCAGTTCTGTCTGGATTCCTTACGGGGCCATTGATTGAAGAATCCTTATGGGGCCATTCAGTGAAGAAATCTTTAATGATCAACGACAAATATCTCATGAAATAATTCATATGTGCTGAGAAAAGGGCAAAAAAATTATGCACTTCAGATATACTGTGCAAAGTATTGTAAAGAAGACTTGCTCTAGCCAACACAACTAATCTAGGAAATAATAAAAAAATATAAGGAATTATTGTTCAAAATTATACAGAGGAGACACATAAACTGCCTAATTAAATAAGAACTGTCGCCAATCTAATTTGCTCGTGAAATTTATCTGTACCGTAGAATTACACACTTTACAGCCTACCATAAATAGTTGTGAGGAAAATACCAATGACTGCAAGAATAATATCGATCATTTACTGTTAACTGAAACACAACGGCACTTTGGTAAGAAAAAAGTATAAAAAGTGTGATAAAGTGTCTTTTTTTGCAAACATAATTCACAGGAAGGGAGAAAATATTTATTTTTGCATGCTCATCTTGTTGGAAATTAAGTAATTTACAATGAAGGGCACAATGAATGAAGCTGTTGCGATATTGATTTGGTGTTACTCACATCAGCCACAAGATAAATTAAATTAAAGAAAAATAACCTGCCAACAATTGCTGTGATAATTCAATAACTGCACACAGAATCTGTAGCACAGCATGAGAGTGACCCTGCCTCTTCTGTCATCCGTCCTCAATGAACGGCCATGACAGAGGTGAGGGTTATGGATGCCCCTCCATTCAGCGAAGGACTCCGTAATTTACAGAACATGTGCAGTGTCGGCATTTCTTTCCTTCTTTCAACCATGCAATCAAAGCGTGGGTCAATAGGCAAGTTGCCTCACAAAGAATCACCTTTTTATGCATGTCAATACTGTGGCCATTTTAACATTGATCAAATTGTTTTTTGTTATTTTTCAGTTGATTTTAGTGGCTATTCGGTCTGTTTTAAAGATTTCCATTCTGTAATGTGAAACACTTTGAAAGATTCTTCAGGATGTTTAAAACATGGAGGTTAGTTTATTTGAAGATTTGTTCCATAAAGTTAAAGAATTCAGAACCTTTATTAAAGGACATATTAAAGGACAGATTAACAATTGTCATATGAAAAAAATCCGGTGTTCTTTAACTTCTATTGAGTGAATATATTAATCCCTACAAGACAGGGTAGTGATAAGTGAGGGTAAGTGAGTAAGTGAGTATGGTTTTATGCCTCTTTTAGCAATATTCCAAAAATATCATGGCGGGGAACACCAGAAATGGTCTTCGGGTGTTCGGCATGACGAACAAACACTTTAACCACTTGGTTACCCCAGGTTCGTTTTGTTTTGTGTTTGCTTGTTGTTTAACGTCGCACTCAGTAATATTCCAATGTAAATAATTGAGTCTGGACCAGACAATCCAGTGATTTACATCAT